ACATAGATTAATATCTCAAAATATCACCATGATACAAAAGAGTTCCAAGGAAGTACACTCAATCCTAAGAGAATGAAGTTAGTCACTCATAGTGGTCATTACAATGCTCTAAATGAGGAAGAATTGAAGAATCCTTGAAGAACAGAACAACAGTCGCGCCTCTTCTCCAAAAACCTAAAATTACATCTCAAAATGCGTATTATCTTTTTTATAGAAAAATTTGGGCCGGGTCTCGCATCATTCATTTGCTCAAGTATTCTTCTTTCTTCAATTACTTCACAATTATGATCTTTACTCGTGTATCCAAGTAATTTACAAATTCATCTTACATTGGGAGAAAAATATATTAGAATCACTATAATTTAAGTGATTATATTATAATTAAGAGCATAATTATATCAACTTTTACCACTTAACATTTGGTTAATTGGTCTTGAAAATCTTTTACAAATTAATATATATATATATATATATATATATATATATATATATATATAAAGGTAATTTTAATTTATGAAAAATTCATTTTATTTTATTTTATTTTACAAAAGCAAAATTTGTTCCAATTAGAAGATAAAAGTATGGAAAAGCTTGTGAGAAATATGACGAAGAAGATAGCAAGCTGAGTCGAAGATGGAAAAAACAATACACAATATACTAACTTTTGTCTTTTTCATTAATAAGACAATAGTCCAAGTGTTGTATGTTCATGAAAATCAAATTATAAGAATATATTAAAATAAACTCTTGTTATCACAGTATAATATTAGGTTACAACCCATTTATCATTTTGGTCAGAGCAAAATTAAAAGTCAAGCAAGTGATTTATATTCTACTTTACGATGAAAATGAGATTCAATTTGTATCTTCCTACCTCAAGAAGTGAAACCCATATATATGGTTAATAAACCCATCATTTATTGTAAGAAATTTTTTTTAGTATACATTAAATCATATTATTATTATTATTATTATTATTATTATTATTATTATTATTATTATTATTATTATTATTATTATAAAATTTTTAAAGTAATACCTACAAGATTCATATTTTTAAACTCATTTGTCTATTTAAAATTATCTGATTTTAAATATCACTTAGACGAATGAATACGTTGTTAGTGAATGAAATTAGACTTGAATTTCTTAAACAATGTCTCAAAAAAAAATTGGATAGAAAAACATGAGTAAACAATTTATAAAATTTATCAACCAATTTTTTTATTGAATTAATCATGGTCAAAATTAATGAATAAAACCCAAAATTGTTTTTTTTTCCTAAACATAGTTGAGGAAAAAGCAGAATATTGTCTCACAACTTGCATTTATGGTATTTGGAGCTGCAAAATTAACAGATTCCAATTAAAATATTTAATAATACACTTTTTTAAATACTAATATATTTTATTTTTATTAATTATTTTTATATATTTTTAATTTTTTAATCTTAAAATATGATAAATAAAAAGATTATAGTTAAAATTATTTTTTAATTAAATAAAAATATAAAAAGGAAAAAAAAACACATAACACAAATCGTATATTATATAATACGATTTTATTATTAATACTAAAAAAACAAAAATCAAACCCTATAACACGACTTTGAAAAAAAAAATCTATGGATCGTTACCATTCACCACGACTTTTTTTTAAATAAAATAAACTATATTATATAACACAAGTTTAAAATTATATATATATATATATATATATATATATATATATATATATATATATAATTAATAAGTCCTACCATGTAATGAATAAAAATAACACAAGTTGTATTAATAAGCACACGACTTTTCTCGTTACGAAAAAGTCGTAGACAATTATGTATACATCTGTAGGTTTTTTTTTTTAATTTTATCCAAAAATTACTCCCCTTTTCGATAGATAAATCGATTTTGTAGTTTATATATATATATATATATATATATATATATATATATATATATATATATATATATATATATATAAAAGTATATTCATGCACGTAATTTAACTATCCTGCAACACTGTCTAACAAAACTGCAATAGTTAAATATTCTTAAAACTCGTCTCTAAAACAAGAGTTTAATTAACATATATTACTAAAAGATTTTGCATATGAATCGATATTTTTTTAATTCTATTGGTGCATTTGTTAGCCATTCTTAAAATAAATTATGCATAAAAAATCAAAGAAAAAAAAGTAGCATATATATACAAATATTATTATTTTCTTATGTTCTATGTAATTCATTTAAAGATAAATAAACACATTTTCTAGCATATTTATTTTAATATTTCTTTATTAAAAATTATTAAGTATCGTAGATGTAGTGGATTTCACGTCTTATTTAATAATCTCTCGTATTTTTGTATTTTTCTATGAGTAAACTGTCCATTTTTTCTCTAAACATGTGAATATATACCATGCAATTTTTTAGTACATACACATCAACTCCAAAATTTTCAATAAGATTTTTAAATTTTAATTTAGTTGAACAAATATGTTTATTTTCATAACTATATAACAACAATATAATTCCATTGTATTTATTTGATTAAAGCTTCCAAAACATCCACATAGTTCTAACTCAACGTTGAAAGTCAGGACTTTCAAATCGAAAATTTTTATTTATTTCCAACCCCTCTCTATTTATATTATTATTATTTATCATAATTTTTTGAAGTTTAGAGCATTACCAAATTAATTTTGTCACTGATGATATTCGAATCCAACCCCTCTCTATTTATATTATTATTATTTATCATAATTTTTTGAAGTTTAGAGCATTACCAAATTAATTTTGTCATCGATGATATTCGAACCCAGATATCTTAGTGTTGGAAGTCGATACTCGAACCACTAAACTACTCGAATTCTTTGATAATAACTTACAAATAAATTATATTTATATACAAATAAATATATATCCGTGTAAATATATAAATATATAAATACAAATATATTTATATATTTTTATATATTTATATAATTGTATATTTATATGTTGGATGTGAGGGCACGTTCGACGATGAAAGTGTGTGTCGAATGAGTTTTCAAAATTTGATGCCAAATTTGTGAGTGGGTCTCTTTATATGGGTTTGTAATTTAATGACAGAATATAATATTTATAATTTATTTATATAATGATATAAAATAAATTTGGGAAACGCATCATTCGCTCAAGCGAAAAATACTAATTTTCGCTCAAGCGAGGCTTGAGCGAGTGAATTTCCGTGAGTTTTAACGTATTTTCACTCAAGCGAGAGTCAATCTCACTTTCATCCTCGAACGTGCCCTCACATCCAACATATAAATATATAAATATATTTATATTTATATATTCTATATTTATATATTTACATGGATATATATTTATTTGTAAATTATTATAAAAAAATTATAGTAGTTTAGTGGTTAGAGTATCAATTTTAAACTCTAAAATTGAATTACGTCAGTGACAATTCTCTAACTTAAGTGAATTTTTGATTAAAAAAAATAAAAACACTTTCCAGAAAATATATATAAATAAATATATATTTACACGGATATATATTTATTTGTATATAAATATAATTTATTTGTAAGTTATTATCGAGAAAATTACAGGTAGTTTAGTGGTTGGAGTATCAACTTTCAACTCTAAAATACTGGATTCAAATCCTGTCGGTGACAATTCTCTAATTTTAGTAAATTTTTGGTTGAAAAAAATAAAAACACTTTCCGGAAAATATATATAATTAAATATATATTTACATGGATATATATTTATTTGTATATAAATATAATTTATTTGTAAGTTATTATCGGAAAATTACACTAGTTTAGTAGTTGGAGTATCAAATTTCAATTCTAAAATATCGTGTTCGAATCGTGTTAGTCACAATTCTTTAACTTAAGATAATTTTTAGGTGAAAACACATTCAACGTCGGTTCATCTAGAACCGACATAGAATGTGTCTAACATTCAATTTTCAACGTCGTTTTTTAACCAACCGACATTGAAAGTGTATTTAACGTCGGCTCAGCTTTAACCGACGTTAAATGACGACGTTGAAAGCATATTTTTTAGTAGTGTTTTCTTGGGAGCTCCCAAAGTTTTGTATCTTTCATATAATTTATGATTTTGATCCCCCAAATTTAATGAACATTTAATATATTTACGTATATATTTACAATTTTATCCTCTCAGTCCCTCCTTAGTTTTGTAACTCTCATATAATTTATCATTTTGTCCCCCTCAAACTTAATGATTATTTAATATATTTAAGTATGTATCTACAATTTTATCATTTTACCCTTTCATCTTCTTTCTTTCTTTTATATTTATTTATTATTTATTAAAATAATATATTATTTGACCCCTCAAACTCAATGTTCAATATCCACCACTTATAAGTATTAAATTTTAAATGGTTAACTTGATATAAAGAAAGTGGGACAAAGTTATAAAGTGTGCGAAAGGAAAGTAGAAAATGTAATAAATAAGAAATGGAAATGGAGGAAAATGGTTGTGTTTACCTCTTATCGATAAATTCAAAGTGAGAAGAGATGTACATTAGCAAGTGATTTTCTGATACTCTTCATCGATAAAATCAATTATAAGTATGATAATTTATAATGATTATATAAAAATTACAATTGAAACAAGCTCTATTAATTTGGTCATGAGAAATTAGATATGGTGAGGAGAGCCCATAAAATAACAGGAAAAACACCAAGAATGGAAAAAGAAAAAGAAGTGGTGAAAAGGTAAAATAAAAAATTAGAAAGAAAAATGGGAGGATGAAGTCAATGTCACTGGGATTAATAATATTATTAATTATTCATATCATCAGCATATCCTACAAAATAAAGCGACAGTGTTTGAACCAATGACGGAATAAGGACACCGGCTTTGCATATTCTAAGGTATAGTTGTCGTGTTCTTTGTTTCCCACAATCGAACGCCATATGTCTCCTTGTTCACATCGATCCACGCCCTCGTCTTTTTCTGCCTCCAACAATGCCCACTCCACAACCTCTTCATATACTCATCCATCTCCACCCTCCAACCAATGCCCCAACAATGGCATCGCAAGACCCAACACTCCTCAAACTCCACTCAGCACACTCCGACGTCAAAACCCTCCTCCAAACCTCATCGGAGACACAACACAACATCACAAAAACTGAGACCAGGTTTTCTCTCTCCCAACAATCGCTCTCAACCGTCTCCAGAAGAATCCTCCCTCTACAGTCCCTCACCATGTCGAGAAAAGCCCTCGATGCCAGAATCACCAGAGCTGTTTCCCCAGCAGTGGATCTCCTCAACACGTTCAAGGTTACGGAGGCTCTTCAGGCCAAGCTGGTGACCTTCTCGGCGGAGCTCTCGGCAGAGAAGTCGCAGCAGAGGAGGGTGGAGAAGCTGGTGGATTACGTTGAGTGCGTGGAGGAAGTGAAGGAGGGGATAGAGAAGATATGCGAGGAGGTGGAGGTAGTGGTTCAGAGGCTGCAGGAGGTGGTGGAGTTTGTGAGCAGGACAAAGGCTGCGGATCAGTGCAGGGAAGTAAGGCTGAAGGAGGCGTTGGGGACGCTGAAGGGGCTGTATGAGATGGAGGTGGATGAGATGAGGTTTGATGGGTTGTTGGATCAGGCGTTGGTGCACGTGCAGGATGAGTTTGAGGGACTGTTGCTGAGGATGAAGCACCGGAACCTTGGGGATTTCGTGCACCAGCATGGTGGTGAAGAAAAGGAACTGGGGTCGGAGATGGAGATTGAAACCCTCAGAAGAATTGCAACCACCCTCGCTGCCAATGATTGCATGGACATTTGCATTGATATATACGTCAAGGTACTCATTAACCTTTGTTTCATCACCAGTAATAATCACTATGTTTTCGAATTGTGTGTTAAAATATGATTGCAGAAAATTTGGATGCAACCTTGCAATCTATCTCAAGTTTCATGTTACTCTTTGATTTGTTTTCTTTTGTGTATACTGTATGGTCCAGGCTGTGTCAAGTGATTTTTATCCCTGTTCATATCATTTAATTACCTGAGAGTTAAAGAAAGAGTACTCTTAATATATAAAACATTAAATATATTTAATTGTGTTGAGATAAAAATTATCCATTATTATATAATTTATATGATAAAAATTTTAAAAATATCTTTAATATTACTCAATAATTTATTTTGATAAATTAAAATTTATTTTATCATATATATTTTTTCTTTTAAAAAATAAGTATATAATTTTTTTAAAACATATTTAAAATTTAATCTAATTTTTTGTCTTTATATTTTAACATCAAATTTCACTATCTTAAAACTTTAAAACAATCAACTAATTGATAATGAATAATACACTAATATGTTATAATAGTAAGAAAAAACAATAAACAAAATAAATTTACCTACTTCAAGAAAAAATGCGAAAGGTAAGAAGAAAAATATTCAATTTTCATACCTTAAGATGACACTGTGAAAAAGAAAAATATGGAATTGATAGAGGAAAATGTAGAAAAATGAAAATAATATGATGAGTGATTGAAGTTAAAGTGGTGAAAGTGAAAAGTAGATGGAGAAAAAATAAAAAATGAGAGAAAAGAAATAAAAATGTGAAATGAGAATATAAATAATTTTTTTTATAATTATTATTATTAATATTTTTTATAGGAAAGAAAATATAATATATTTTTTATAAAAAATAATGTTATTTAATTTTTAAATTTTTAATATATATATATATATATATATATATATATATATATAATTTTGAAGTGGCTGTGGTAACCACGTTCCATTATTTGTTTTTATTTTAAGAAATATATATATATATATATATATATATATATATATATTTTTTTTTTCTTAAAATAAAAACAAATAATGGAACGTGGTTACCACAGCCACTTCAAAATTATATATATATATATATATTCATTTATTTTGACTTAAGAGAACTTTGATCTTTTTTTTTTTTTTCAAGTTACATGGAGCAGTTACAAAGTTAAAATAAATAAAAAATTAGGATTTATTTTTGTTAGAAAGATTACACTGTCAAAATTTAGGAAGTAAAAGAAGGAAAAAGATGTATACTTGATTATTTAATTAAAAAAAGTTTATACAGTTAACAAAACAAAAATTTGTCGTAAAAAATAAATATGGGAGAAATATAGGTTGACAATTCCATCATCAAATAATTATTTTCAATAATATAATAATAATAATTTAATTTTTATTATTATGATTATTTTATTATTAAAGGAAGTTATACCTATTTTTATTAATATAATAATAATAAATTGTTTTTTTACGATTATGATTATTTTATTATTAAAAAAAGTTCTAAAATAGATATTCGAAAAAAAATATCTAATATCAGTGTTGATAAATATATGAAAAATGATTTTTTGAAACTCTCTTTTCAACCAACAGTCATTTAACCATTTTCTTTAATTTTTTCATACACTTTTTCATGATTATTATATCAATAGATTGGTTTGTTTATTGGATTGGTAAACGAATGTTTTTTTTTTTCTGAGTTGTACATATATGTTTTATAAGTATTGTACTGTTTTCATGATACATTTTAACGAATTATAGAAAGAAAATGCCTAATTACATAAATCTAAACACACGAAGGTGTTTGATAGCTTTTTTTTAATTTGTTTACACTTCCAAAATTATGATAGTTGTTGTAAAAATTTATAAATTTTTACAATTCAATATAATTGTGAAAAAAAATTATTTGTATTCTTATTCTATGAATTGTTTGCCTTTTTCTTTCTTTCATTCAATAATAACCTTTTATTTATGTTTTTTTTTATTTAAAAAAAATACTCCACAGATTCATGATAACTGAAATTGTAATCATATGTTCTTTGTAAATAAGATTTTTGTTTAACATGATTGAACAGGCGAGATACAGAAGAGCTGCGAAGGCACTAATGAAGCTAAACCCTGATTACCTTCGAACATACACCACAGAAGGAATCGACGAAATGGAATGGGAAACCTTAGAAACAGCCATTACCCTTTGGATTCAACATTTTGAAGTCGCAGTCAAGAAGGTCCTCTTTTCAGAAAAGAAACTCTGCGAAAAAGTCCTGGGCAATTTCATGGAGGGTCTAGTGTGGCCAGAATGCTTCATCAAAATCTCCGACAAGATCATGGCCGTGTTCTTCCGCTTCGGAGAAGCCGTGGCCCGAAGCAGCAAAGAGCCCCAGAAGCTCTTCAAACTCTTGGACATGTTTGAATCCTTAGAGAAACTCAAACCCGAGATTTCAAAAATCTTCGAAGGAGAACCTGGCGTGGACATATGCACGCGGTTCCGCGAGTTGGAGAAGCTCATCATCGATGCTTCGAGCAAAGTTTTCTGGGAATTCGGGCTTCAAATAGAAGGCAACATCGACGGTCTTCCACCTCCTCAAGACGGTTCCGTTCCCAAGCTCGTACGTTACGCCATCAACTACCTCAAATACCTAACCACGGTTAACTACAAAACATCCATGGTCAAGGTTCTCCGAACACAACAAACATGGAGAGGTAAAGGTGGTAGTACTGATACTAGTAGCAGTGAGATGTCAACGGACGAGGGTTTGTTGAAGCATGCGCTTTCCAACGTGATGGAGGCGATTCAGAGGAACATAGAGTCAAAGAGATTGTGTTGCAGGGACAAGGTTTTGGTGCATGTGTTCACGATGAACACGTATTGGTACATTTACATGAGGACGAAGAACACGGAGCTTGGTGAGGTGTTGGGTGAGAAGTTGATGAAGGAGGGTTACAAAGGTGTGGCGGAGGAATGTGCTTACTTATATCAGAAGCAAGCGTGGGGGGGTTTGGTGAGGGTTTTGGATGGTGAGGATGTGAGGGAGGAAGGGAAAGGGAGTGTGGGAAGAGTGGTGAGTGAGAAGGTCGAGGTGTTCTTCAAGGGTTTGAATGAGGTTTGTGAGAGGCATGTTAGAGGGGTGTACAGTATACCTGACGTCGATTTGAGGGATCAGATGATGGAGGCTACAGTGAAGCTTGTGGTGTCTGCTTATGCAGAATTTTTGGAGAGTTATTCAGGGTTTTTGAATAAGAAAGGGTACCCTAGTGTTGAAAGGGTGAAAGGGTTGGTGGTGAAGGCCTTTGATGGGGGAAGGTTAAGGAGGAAGGGTTCTGCTTCTGGTGATTGGAATGTTGCAAGGAACTCTGGGTCTTTGGAGAGGGATGTTGTGAGATCAGGAAGTAATGGTGGTCATGTTTGAGAATTCATGCACATTTCAGTGTCTCTTCTTGTCTTTGGCCTCACACTACAATTCAGCTTGAACACACAACTGAATTGATTTTATTATGTTAATTATTACAATACAACTAACTGTAAGATATGGAGTATGGAGTGATGAATTTTCTTCCTCAAGGGTTACGAAGACGAAGGCTAGTAAAACTATAATGTAATTACTTTTGTGTTTTTCCTTTTTACCATAACGTTAACTCTCAAAAAGATTACGACCAGGTTAAATTTGTTCCAAATTAATTTAAAATTTAAATTATATTTAGTGACTCTTTATTGGTGGGAGAATTCACTGTATATAATTTGGTCTAGTTTTTTTTTTCTTGTATATATCACATTTATATATATATATATATATATATATATATAGAAAATTATTTCTTTTTAAAATTATATTTTTCTTCTAAATATTTTCTAATAGTGTTTATTGATTGGAGATCTTTAAGGCATTTGAAAGATTTATTAGATTGACATATCTTAAGAAATAAATGCAATAAGATAATATATATTTCTTGATTGCTCTTTACTACTCTATTTAATCCGAAGTATTTATTCTTATCTTCTAGTTTATACCTCCATTACTTCTCAATAGTTTATAATCTTCATAACTTGCCAATATAACAGTAGTGATTTTTTTTTAGAGTTTGACACTTTAGGATTTAAGGTGAATGGATTGGAGGTTAGAATTTTTTTAATATTAATATTTATTTTAATAAAAATAAAAATAATAAAAAATAAATAAAAATAATGTCTAAAAATCATTATATCTTTTGAAACCAATCAAATAATTAAATAAATAATATAAAATAAATATCAAACAAACAAAAGATAAATATTATACAATTTAATTATAATTAAAATCAACATTTTTAAAAAGCAAAGTCTGCAAGTTTAAACTAAGACAATGTAATAATATATTATTTAATAAAATTATATAAAAACAATTTTTTTTTAATGTTGTTGTTGGTCATTTGTTTCTTCTTTAGGGACAGTTTCTTCATCAAATACCATAAATATAGAAGTAAATTATAATTATAAATACTAAAATTAAATATAGAAAACACTATGGATATAATCAAGTTTTAAATATGATTAGAGATAAGTAAAACACATTAAAGTCACTAAATAATTAATTCACTCGATAGGTTTATAAAGAAAATTTCATCATTATTCATTTTATTAACTTGTGATGTGAATACAGTAACCTATTTTAAAATACCAAAAATTAATCAAATTAGTAAATTATATTTAATTAAATTTAAACACAAATTATTTGTCAACAAGAATAATATATTAGCATGAACTCAGGAACCAAAATTTATAACTTTTAATGATAGAAAAACAACAAATGAAAAAGATATTTAATCAACTTGGTACAACATTTCTTCAATATCTAAAGCTAGCAAACAAAAGATGTATGTTATTAATATAAACCGAACATTGATTATCTTATAGTAGCATCATATGAAATACCTAGAATTATAACTCAAACATTATGGGATTTATCACATTTTATATTATCTTTATTATCCTAAATGGCTAAATCACAAATAGATAATAGCAAGAGTAAGAACACTTTAATCAACTTGCTACAACATTCCAACGTTTCTTCATTATCCCAAACTAGCAAACAAAAGATGTATATTGGTAATATAAATCGATCACAAATTATCATATAGGCATGTTTTGTAGCATCATATCAAATAATTGTAGTACAATTCAAACACTAGGGGATTTATCACATGTACATTATCTTAAATGGATAAATCAGAAATAGATAAACAAGAGTACCAAGTGTGCAAGAGTAACAACAAAGATACTTTAATCAACTTGTACAATATTCCAACTTTTCTTCAATATCCCTGGCAAACAAAAGAGGTATATTATGAATGATTGATTGATCATAAATTATCATATATGCATGTTTCGTAGCACCATATGAAATACATAAAATTATAATAAAAACTCTATGAGACTCGTCACATGTATATCATCTCCATTAGAAACAGATACTCTAAAAAAATGAACAAACAAATTAACCAAGTCAATGCATGCACAACCAAGCATTCACTACATTTATAATTTCAAATTCAATTATTAAAACAATATAAATTCAATTATTAAAACAAGAAGTAATGCAATATCATTAGAACAAAAAATCATTAATTCGAGTTTCTAATTGTATATAAGAAGTTAGAGATTTAATACAAAACTTTAGATAGACGGTCACCTAAACCTAAACCTAAAACAAATTCACAATGTTCTTGGCTTCCTATAACATAAACTAAAGAATAAGTACTTGATATTTTTTTTATGATAGGGGACAATGAGATTGATTCACATTCCTTGAATTTTTCCCGACGTAGAACAAAAAAAATTAACTAATTAAGATAACATGAAAAGTGGTTTACAACTATAGACCTTATTATTAGAATTTAACTTACACCAATTTTCCTTTCTTCATCACTCACAAATTCTCCATTAGTATGTTGATGAGTAATTATCCATACTTCTCCTCATTAACTTTATGATCACACTTTTTTTTTTAAATCAATAAAAAATATATTAGGTATACTTCACAAGTAAAAGCATAAATTTAATATGAAGATCTCTCTAGTGTGGTCACCATTTCATTCCTCGTTGTGCAATGCTTTTATATCCACGTGTATGAGCAATTGTTTGCTTTATCTTATTCTTTTTATTTTTTCAGGGGATTATCTAACCAATATTGACATCGAAAAATTAATTAATGTAAATGATATTAAGGAGAAAAATCTAATTATATTTATTTTTGAATTGAGACAATAGTCTATAAAAGAAGCACAATGATCTCTATTTATTCTTGTTGGGGTCATTGCCATCAATTCATCACTAGTATATGTTGTTGGCATAATTATTTTCAATAGTCTCTCCATTTTGTATTTAGTGATTTGAAGACATGATTTATATAAGCATCAAAATGGACTCCAAACTTAGCCTTTAAAATATAGTTCAATCAAAATTAATAACTTACTGAATTATAAATTTAAATTTTACATTGCTTATATGAATAATGTTCTTAAGTATGTCTTGTTTGTTATCTTTCGAAATCTTGTTCCAGCTAGAATAACTAATAGGAAATACCATGAAGTTTCTTGAAATATTATTACCTAAGGACCTATTCAATAATGTTTTATTGGTTGACCTTCATTATTTAAATTCACAATAATCCTTTCAGTAGAGGTAATTTCCAAGCATCATTAGTTCTTAGTTGTTTGTATATATATCTTACCTTGCTTATCAATGACATGTTAAAAAAAAACTATTAATTGTTAGGACTATAAAAAATGTTGCATAGTACATAATATAAGTGTCACTTTCTAACTTTGTTGGCTTACCAATGACATTAAGAAACCATGCGCTCTTGTGTGTTACAGGCTTTGATGTTCTATATGCTACTTATTTTTCTTATATTTTTTTGTCTTCTTTTCTAGACTGTAAATTCGATGTAGTTTTAATTGTTGATTTAGGTATAATTTGATGTGATGGTGGACAATTAGGTTGAGATACAGTTAGGTCTTATTGATTAAAATCACATTGATTTTGTAGATATTTAATGATTAATTTTCGTTAAAAGAAATTGTATAATAGATTTGAATTGAATGAGCTTCAAATTTTTTAAGTATTTTTGATAGTGTATAGATTTTTTTTTTACTTTAAATGATTGATGTAAATTAAGTAACTTTATAGTTAATGTTTTTTTTATGTAATTTTGGTATATTATTATTAAATATATTATTAAATTATAATTTCTTTTGCATCTAGTTTTATTGAGTATATAGGGTTTCTTGAAAATATATGTATTTATCATGCAGGAAGGTTGATCAATAAAATAAAATAATTTTAAAAAGATTGTCACTTTCTATGTCATTTATTTTCATAATTGTCATAGAAAATATTACTTTTTATGTCATATAACTTGTTATGTGATTCCTGTCTTATGCTTATTTTTCATCTGTTTTTTACCCTTCCTACTGACATAGAAAATTGGGTTTAAATCCAACATAAAAACTCAACACTTTTTATGTCGCTTGTATTTGTGTGGTTGTGGAACTAACATAAAAAATATTGTAGAATCGATATTAAAATTACATTTTTACTAGAGTAAAGGTCTCTAGAAAACAATTAAATGAAATAAAGAAAATTTTCTACCTCAGAGATTGATGGATGATTGATCAATTTCAACTAGAAGACATTACAAAAAAAAAATAGTTTTAGCGACCGAAAAATTCGGTCGCTAATGTGAAAAAATTAGTCGCTAATCAGTTAGCGACCAAAATGCGTCGTCGCAAAAGACCAAGTCGCTAATGTGTTAGCGACTGATTTTCATTTCGATCGCAAAAATAGCAACCGATAAGGTGGTCACTAAATAATTGTTGAGTTATTGGCAAATGTACCAAATTATCAATCGCAGTATAGTATTTCGATTAAATAAAAGTCGATCCCACGAGGAACAGTTTCAATGGAAATTCCCAATTATGCTTACTAAGTAGATTAAAACAAATTAGGTTTTGCAAATAAGAGTTGAATTGAAATTAAATGACAAAGAACTGTAGATTGTTGAGAAAATATCAGTTAAAGGTACTTAGGATTGATTTCCTTCCTTATCCCTCTTTTGTAATGACTATGTCAATTAAGAACGTCAATTAACCTAACAATGTTGATGCCACCTACTCAAATCATCCATGTTGATTCCTCACACATGAAATTCATAAGAAAACCTAATAAATGTTGATTCCTCACACAATTAACAGATTTTCCAGCATTAGGGTTAGGGTGTTAAGCAATTGATACATTCATTCCATTCCTGACAATTAACGTAACAAATATTCTTACCGTGATCTAGGGTTCAAGATATATTTTCCAATCATACCTCAAACAATCAAGAATAAATCATTCCAAAGCATAAAGGATAAGAATAACAACATCAAAGCA